GCAGCAAGATCCGGTCCTGAGAGAGTGTATCAGAGGAGCCCTCCATGTTGGGGCCCCGAGCTTTTAGTGCTTGAGAGTTTAAGCACAGGTGGGATGTAATGAAGTTGGGGCTTGGCTTAGCCTTCTGCTGCCTTTGGGCCTTTACCCTGCCCAAATCTGCCCAATTGTTGATCTCTACTCCATTCTTGCTGTGCTGCTTGTAGCAGGGCACCCTGGACTGTGCCATCAGCATGCCATCTCCTTCCCACAATTGCATCACTCCACAAAGCAGGTGCACAGATCCCTCTCTTTCACTGCAGTCCTCTCTTCTTGAAGGTGGCCTCCTCCCCCCCCCCCCCCCGTTCCTGAAACCAGCCAGTACCCCCGAGTTCACAAGTTACTTCTGGATTAGCTCCTGTAACACCCAGGGAGGTGCACCTCACAGGTGTGGTGGACACATGCCACCTGCTTTTGCTTTCTTTGATATTCCTTGATAGAAACCTGAAGAGAGCTCCAGATACCTTGCACAATTGGGGTCCTGCTAGTTCCATCCCTAAGGAGCCACATTCTCTTCTCTTCCCACCCCCAGGTAGGGGGCTTTCCAGAGCCTAGCAAATATGTTCCCTCAGTGCTTAACCACATCCAACACACATTAGCTGCACACTAAGCAGAGACCTCTAGGTCTCCAGGGCCTAGCTTTATCTAGGCAAGGCTGAGGATGCTGGAAGGGACCCAGTAGCTAGGATTGGGGGAAGATATGAGCCTTAAGGGTCCAAGACACACTCAGGCCCTGGACTTCGGAGTCTGGGGTAGCTGCCCACCCAGGCCTAGTAGTAAGACTTTGAGATCAGTCCAAGCAGCAGTCCGTGAGTTCAGAAGCAATACAGCTCTCCTTCCCTGTCTTCCTCCCCAGCTTCCTACTCTGCATGTACTCTTGGCCACTGACCAAGAGATGAACTGGCCTCTCCGTGGAACAGGGGACCCCAGAGGCACTTTGCCCTCGTGTTTAGGGTTTGTAGAGCCTCTGCAACCAGAAACTGTGTTTCTGGCTCTGGCTTGGCTTTCTTCCCAACCCACAGAGGATCAGGAAGATCTTGCAAAACTCTGAAGAGGCAAGGCCTCTTTCTAATGCAGCTGACTAGCAGCCAGGCAGAACGGAGGCTGCAGAGGGGAGGCCTGATCTAGGGAAGCAAGGTCTTCCATCTTCCTACATCCCCCCCAGCTCCCCTTCTTCTCCCACCCAGGCCTGAGGAAGTCTAGGGAGGCCTTTTTCTTTTTCCCCTTAATGAGTGAGAATCCTCTTCTTTCAAATCGGGGAGGGAGTTAGGTAAATGAGAGAAAGGGCCTGAAAGAGAGAAAGGGGGGAGAATTAACTCACAGCGATCGCCTGGGATTCGTTTTGCGGAGATGTAACCTCTCTGGCCATCATCCCCAACGCCGTAATCCCCTCTAACTGCCAGGCCCTCTGTCCTAGCATTAAACCTCACCAGCAGCTGCGCGGCTGGACAGTTAAGATTATATATGATGTAAATATATTGTGGGTTTGTCAGCTCTCCCTACACCATAAAACTTGGTTTAATGACATCACGTGGTCCCCCAAGAGCCACTCACGGGCTTGCCTTCAGGCCATTCACATAAATAACCTCCAAAAGTTTCAAACTCCTAAATTCACATAGAAGCCTTTCCTATTTCTCTAATGCTCAGTTACACTAAAAAGCCCTAGAGCTGCTCCCTTGCCCCTCCCCGCACCCCCTTGCAGGGTGGGGAGGGGGGAGAAGGTGGATCCTTATTTATTTATTTACTTACTTATTTCTAGAAGGACCTGATGCCTTCGAGGTCGTGTTGACATTTTTCTTCCCATTTTGTTCTCCTCTCTAATTGCTCAGAGTGGGCCGTGTCCCCTCTTCCCACTCCCCCGGAAGGTAAGTCATGATTCTTCCCCTTCTTTCCTGCTGCCAGAGTGGGTGGGTTCTAGGGCAAAGTAGAGAGATGGGCTCTAGCTCTAATATCACCTTGTGGGACCAAGGAGACCCTCCATTTACTCTCCCAGAGCAATGTTAAGTCCTGGAACTAGAAAGCTGGTCCAGGGGCAGCTTGGTGGGGTAGACTCTAAGCAGTTTCTGGTCAAAGAGAGAGTAAATTTCTGGGCCTCACCGACCCCAGTGCAAGAGTGGTCTGAGGCCTCTGGCTTTGTGTCTTCTGTCTTGGTTGCCTCTGCCAGCAGCACTGTGGAACTGTGGCTGGACAAGGGCTCAGGCCTGTGACAGAAAGGAGGAGAGCTGGTAGGCATGGTTGTCCCCCCAAGCCTGGGCAAGCTAAGATGGTTCTTCAGCTAGTTCCTCCAGGGAATAAGAAGTTCGGGCCTGCCTGGAGGAGGCAAACAACCCACAGAAGGGCTGGTGAACTTTGCCAGGCAGGTCTGATCAATATCACCCCTGTTCCCTCCCCCATCAAGCCCTTGGTTCATCAAGCCCTGATGTGTTTCCCTAGGGAGGAAGCACAGGGCCTCCTGAAGCCTGGGAGGCTGGAACCGGTGAGTGTGTGCCATAGCCTCTTCCTTACTTAACTGTTACCCATCTGAGCCGCTGGCACTTCTTCACGCATCAATGCTCATCCAATGGTTTAACTCAGCATGTAGAAAAAATTAAAATAACTCCCTGAAGAAAATCACACATTTTATTTCTCTCTCTCTCTCTCTCTCTCTCTCTCTCTCTCTCTCTCTCTCTCTCTCTCTGTGTGTGTGTGTGTGTGTGTGTGTGTGTGTGTGTGTGTAGAGAGGGGGGGAAGAAAGGGAGAGAGGAAAAGAAAGAGGAAAGGAAGAGAGTTGGTTGGGGCTGGACTGCCCAGTCTTCAGGGTGCAAGTTGAAGGGAGACTTTAGCAGTGCTCTGATCTTCCTGAGCACAGAGGGAAGGGAAGGGAGGTAATGGGTACAGTTCAACAAATACTCATTGAGACCTTCTACATGCCAAGCATGGAATGAGGACAGGCTCTTGCATCTAAAAATGACAGACACAATAGCTTAGATAGTGGGATGCAGTGAAGTCAGTCCTTTAATAATATAAGGAGCATCAGCATTAATAATCATAAAAAGAAATCTCCCTAACCCTCCCCAGAGCCTCTCTGTTCCCTTTCTGAGCAGTCCCTAGTCCAATTTTAGATCCCTAGTCCAATTTTAGATCCCCACACCTCCCGTGTGGGGGGCCTAGGCTTGCCTCCAGGAAATCACCCCATTGTGGGAAGCTGGAAAGGAAATGCAGTAAAGTTTTATGGACCCATCCTACATTTGTTTCTCCTGTAAAGTACTTCCTCCTCCAGCCCAACCCAGGAGCCTGGAGTGGAGCTGAGCAGAGCATAAGCCTAGGCCAGCCCCACCTGAATTAGCTGTGACCCCTCCCCCTCCACACAAAATCTCAGAGACTGTGATAAATGATAGCAAACAGACATGACTCCCACACTGGTCTATGCAGCTCTTAATCCAGTTAACTGTCCTTCATTGGCTTAGATCTAGAAGAGAGAGAACAGTTTGTTTTCTCAGAGGTGAGGCAGGAATGCACACAGTGCAGGTTACATTTTCTGTCCTCCTAGTCCCCCACCCCAGTCCATATCTTAGAAAGCTGAAGTGCATCTCAAACCTTGGCCAACTCCCCTTCCCCCCATCTCTTTACCAAGCAGCATCAACTATTGCTGGGAGTCCTTCTGGGGTCAAACTCATCCCTTGAGTGAGGACTCAGCCTTCCTTCTATGTCCATAAGGCCCCTCAGGGATGACCCAGACCCAGTAGAGATCTTGAGACCCAGAAGAGCCTGAGTCTCAGGCGCCGGAGCCACTGGTATGTTCTGGCATTAAGTACAGACTACAGACAGTCTAGAAGCCTCAAGTCTTTTTAGTCAAGATGAGAATACTGTGTGCCTTAGACAGCCACAGCATGGGGAAACACCGGTACAGGAGCCCTCAAGTACCCATCCCCTTCACCCCAGAGGTCCTTCTTGGAACTCAGTTACATTTCCCTATTCTTGCTGCAGTTTAAAAATATTTTTAAAGGAATGGCTTAAAAACAGCCCCCCCCCCATACACTTCAGAGCCTATTTAGACACATCTACTTAATGCATATCCTAAACAGACAGAAGTCATTGCATCTTTAGTCTTGTTCTTTCTTCGTCTTTATTTGTTATGACAAAATATAGTTTCAGGAAGGATCTGGAGTCAATAAATAGTTGGGCGACTGCAGTGGGGCAGGAGGGTGGGAAAGTCATGGCAAGATATATAGGACAGCAAAAGAGCCTCAAGAACCACTTTCTGGGGTCCAAACGCAAGAGACCCCAATAGTTGAGCTAGGTAGCAGGCTGGGGCTGTGAACCTGAGAGGGCATGCAGCAGGCCAGGCTGGGGAGGTTCCCGGGCTTTGGGGAGGGGGTTAGAAGGTTTGGAAAGCAGAGGACAACCTCCAGGGCTACAGGCCCACTTTCACTCACCTCTCTTTCATATGCAAATCATTAATAAGTAAAGACGAGTTTAGAACCTATAAAGGTTAGTTGCTATAGGAAAGCACCCCGAGTCTGGTCATACCCTCTGCCTGGCACCACCAGCCTTCAGCGGCCTGGCCAGCCTAGGCAGGAACAAAGAAGAGGGTGAGGTGGAGGTCGGGGCTAAGGGGTTGCGGCCGGTCTGTCTCACCTTAACTCAGGCTGGCCTAGCTTTGGCTAGGAGCCGGAGAGGCAGCCCAAGTTGAGGCTCATCCAGCACCGGCCGGTAGCACACCGCAGCCCTGCGGGCAAACCCTATAAGAGTGTGTCCTGGGCCTGGGGTGCTCAGCTGAGCTGAGGCGAGATGGGCAGCGCAGGCGGTCCTGCAGAACCCTGGGTCGATGGGAATTCCGAAGGCCAAGGAAATGCGCTTTTGTCTGGGAGGCCTGGAGCCAATGCTCCAGCCTCCGCCCCAAAATCTAGAAGGAGGAAAACCGAAAAGGAAGGGAGCAGGGACCAAAGCCGACTGGGGTGCTCTCTGCAGGCTCCCCGCTTCCTCTAAAGAGCCTCTTTGCTCTTCATTTTGGAATCTTTCTTCCACTTCATCCTGCGGTTCTGGAACCAGATCTTGATCTGTCTCTCGTTGAGACACAAGTTGTTGGCGATTTCTATGCGCCTGCGGCGAGTGAGGTAGCGGTTAAAGTGGAATTCTTTCTCGAGTTCCAGGGTCTGGTAGCGCGTGTAACTGGTTCGGGACCGCTTGCCATCTGTCTCTGGAACATAAATCCCCCCAAGCCAGGAAGGGGTGAATACCGTGCAGCACCTCAGCGTCCCACCCCAGTCCCAGGCCCCCACCCGTGGTCGGAGGGAGTGGAGGTGAGCGCGGCGGGACAGGCCAGAAGGGCCGCAGGCGAGCAGGCCCGACCCCGGGAGAAGCGCCTCCGCCTGGGCAGGAAACTTTCCACCGCCGCCTTCACTCTGCGGCCGGAGGGGCTGAGGGGGGATGGGGGGAAGAGGGAGACCCAGGCTCGGACCGAACAATAAGCACCCTCGAGATCCGAGCACCGGGGACCCCCCTCCCGCCCCTCCCGAGTCGCTGGAATCCTCCGGAGCCGCGAGCACCGGCCGAGCGGGCTCCGCAGGGGAGGGAGGGAGCCCGCGGGGGGATCCCCACTCTGGAGCCCCGTGCTCCTCACCCTTTAGATCCCTCTATTTTTTTAACTCCCTCCCTCTCCCCCAAAAATTGAATATTGCCTTTTATACACGTTTTGTTCCTATGATCCAATTATGTCGTCGTAAATTTGGGCGCACACAGCCTCTAAGCCTTTTAGTGGACAGTTTTACGAGCCATTGATGCCTGGATCGTAAAATTTATGGCCGCAGGTTTTTTTTCTTTATTTGCCCCGCATGGCCTATAAAACCCAGGCGGACCCGAGCGCGCAAAATGAAGTCCTAAAGTTTACCGTGGCTCATGTGCAGTTTGGTCATCCACGGGTAAATCTGTGGCGGGGCCGGTGGCTGGCTCAGTCCGGCGGGCTGCCCTGTCTGCGCCTGCTCCTCTTTGATCTCCCCACCGCTCTTAGCTCGCTCCTCCAGCGCCGGGCGAGCCGCCTTCTGACTGTACATCCCGGGGTTCAGAGGAGCCGCTTCGTCTCTGCTCAGAGCGTGTCCCGGAGCGGCCGCGGCGCTGCAGGCGGGGCGGTCGGGGTGAGCCCGGGGGTTGGCAGCCATGTCTACCCCGTGGAGAGAGTTGGAAGGCGCAGGCGGTGGGAAAGTGATGCTTAAGTCCAATCCGCCGTAGCAGTACCTGGATGCCTGCACCTCTGAGGCCGATCCATAGTTCCCACAAGTTTGCATGTTATAGGCAGGGATATTGGGGCTCTGCTTATAGAATGAATTGGCTACGTAGGAGCTCATGGCGGGGAGGGCCCAAAAAAATTTCTGCACCCTTTTTGATTAAGGGTGATTTGTGACTCTTTGAAGTTGAGGGGTTTTTTGTTCTCCAAAGTGCACAATTTATAGGTGGAGATATCTCTTTCTTTATCCTATGCGCTCTTCCCAAATAAGGGAGCCTTAAATAGAGTCACGTGACTGGAGCGGCCACTCATAAATTTGGCTTGATGACCTCCGGGAGGTTAGTGATGGAAGCGGGCGAAACGCATCTTGATATGTTGGCAAAGCCCAACCCGGGGTGGGGTGGGGGGGGGGAGAATGAGAGAGGAAGAGAAGCCAGGGGGAGAAAAAAAATGGTTCTTGGAATTGGGGGGTAGTCGGGACAACGAGCTCACAGCGACACCTGGTGCCTACTTGGGGGAATTGCACCCTGAAGCATCGCTTGGCCTTGTGGTGGCTGTATTGTAGAGAAGTTGCTTGTTGGACAAACTAACCTTTAAGCTGGCCTTAAAATTCTGTTTAAATTTGAGAAAAGATGAGGCTTTATTTAGGATTTACACAGGTGGTTTTTATAATGGATACTGCCAGTTCCCTACCTCCAGAGCCTTCCAAACTTCAAAGATGATTGAGAAAGAGGGTTGGGGTAACTAAAGTCCAGGCTAGAGATCCAAGAGGATGTACTCAGGTTACCTAAACTCAAGATCAAGGCCTCTTGCTTGGGAGGGTTGGACTCAGCTCTGTTGAAGAGGTGCTTGTCTTGTCAGCTGGGAAAAATGAACTCAACCTCTGGGAGGTAGGCAGGTTACCCAAGAGGTTCCTGAGCAGGCAGAAGCAGGCAGAAGGTTCCTGAGGCTGAGAGTCCTGGGAGCTCTCTGGGATGTGACTGGAGGGGCCAGGTGGATTTGAGTTGACTTCACTAAGTTAGGAGCCCCAGAGGGGCAAGAGGGAACATTCCCATGTGTAACCAGACACAATGGGCTGGAGGACCCTCCTACAGCTGTGTGTGATCCTCCTGGGGTACTGATGGCCAGTATTTCACACAGCAAATAAATGACCTTCCAAGGCATGGAGGGGCAAGATTCAAACCTCCACAAATATTATGAGCAAGGCAGAGATAATGGCCTGCTTGTACTCTTTTTGGGGTAGGCCCTTAGACCAGGCTTGTCGGCAACCTCAATCTAGAAGGCCCATAGAACATTTTCTGGGCTCTTCAGAGGTGTGGGGGGGGGGGGCAAGCCAGGTGACTGAGCAACCTAGACAGTCTTTGGCCAGGGTTTGTTCAACCTTTGGGTCCTTTTCCCTTCTTTCTTAGTTCCAAATCCTACTCTTTGTTGCCTGCCTTTCCCCAGGATCTCTCTGCTTCTGCCAGAAGTCCCCCTCCTGGCTGGCGGAGGCTCTGGAGGTGGGGGCGGGGGGCGGCAGGGACCTGGAGAGTCTGGAAAACTCAGGAGGAATTTTTTCGCCTCCGGGAGATCTCCCACCCCCAACTTCTCCCCTAGGCCCACTCAGGTTTCTCTGGCGAGGCTTGGGGAAAGAAGGCTGGAGCCTAGAAACAGGGTCCTGCTGCACCCCTCACACTTTAGATTTGAGGAGAAAAGAGGCAAGAACGAACGCACAGGCTAGGACTGTAATGAAGAAGGAATTTTGTCTGGCGGGTCAGGAGTCCCAGCACAGGCCAGAGCTCAGTTTCCAGTCTTTCTCTTTGGAGTTGTCCTTGGATCACTCAGTCCCTGCGGACTGACTCAAATCCCGCTGTCCTTGGGTTGCCAGGGCGCTTCAGCCACGTTTCGCAACAGCCGGCCTGGCGGGCCGGGGGCTTGCTCTCTCTGGTCCTCCTTCCGACGCTGCTGGCAGTGGGCGCGGGGTAGGGGGAAGGCGACCCTGGTAATCGGATCAAGCTCCTTTTCTCGCTTTTTGGGCTCAGGGCTCAGAAGCCCAGGATTCCAGGATCCTGCAAGCAGGAAGAAAGGCCCGCGTGGGGCTTGCAGCCCAACCCGCCTCACTCAGGCTTCCCCGCCCCCAGCGAAAGTCCAAGCGGCCCTTTTTCCTCCTTTTCTTTTCCGGGGTGTGTGTTGCTCGGCGTAGGGGAGGTCCCAGAGGCTCTCAGCACCCCAGCACGGTCAGGACAACCCGGAGACCGAGGCTTTGCGCCCGGCTGCGGGACAGGCGAGTGCGGAGGGTTGGGGGCTTGCAAGCGGCAGGCTGGGCGGAAGCTCTGTTGCAGGCCGGCGGGCGAATGAACAGACAGGCGAATTATAAACTTTTAAAAATAATATCAGTTTTATTAAATATTCGAGAACGGATCCAGAGGTCGGATTTATACAGGAGGATAACACGAGGGGGTTTATTTCTTTCTTCCTTTATTTTCTCCTACTGACTAAACAAACATTCACTTTTTTTCTCTTTTTGTTATTTTCTCTCTTTTTTTAATCCTTTTTAAAATGAAATCAGAACACTGACGGTGCTAAACATAAATATAAATACAGAGACCACAAATACAGCTAGAAATATTCACACAGAAACGGTCACAGTTCGTAATATGCCATAATGACCCCCAGGAATCTTTAAATACAATTTGCCCGGACTGGGCATTTGCTGGGGCAGAAAGGCCGGGCAGGGACTGGGGAAAAGCCCGGGGTGGGGGTGGGGGGTGTTGTGGGGCCAAGGCGAGCCCTCCTGAGGCCTCCCGCCCTCCGGCTGCCAGGCCCGGCCCTGAGGCCCTGGAGTGGAGGCCCCAGGTCCGGGGAGCCGGCTTTCTGCACGGGGGCGGGGGTTAAGGGCGTCGGGGGAGGTGGGGAGGGAGCCTAGGGCTCACTTGGAGGGACATCAGTGGAGTCTGAAGCGAGGTTCAGGGACCGCGTCCCCAAGGCCTGGGCTAGGGAAGGGGCCTGCAGACAAGCCGAGAAGGAGCTAGCGAGGGAGCTAGAGGAGGAGGCTCGGAAGAGTTGTGCAGTGAGGGAGGGGGTCCAGAGCTGACTTTCAGGTCCACGTCTGACTCCCTATTTTGTTTTAGGAAGTCACAACACATCAATTGTGCCAGTGATAAATACAGAGTGTGTGATTCGGGGAGCTGGGATGCGCAAGGGAAGAGAGAGGGGTGCAAGGGCAGTCCTGGTCACTCTTTCTGCTTCTCCTCCTCTGTGTCTTCCCGCTTTTCCTCTTTTCCTCCCAGGCTGTCAGCGGCTGCCCCTCCGCCGCCCCCCGAAAGCGTGGACGTGAGATTAGATTCTTTTTTCCACTTCATCCGGCGGTTCTGGAACCAGATTTTGATCTGTCGCTCGGTCAGGCACAGAGCATTGGCGATCTCGATGCGCCGGCGCCGAGTTAGGTAGCGGTTGAAGTGAAATTCCTTCTCCAGTTCCAGGGTCTGGTACCGAGAGTAGATCTGGCGGCCGCGCCTCCGGTCCGCTCCGTAACCGACCCCTAGAGATCCGGGCACAAAACACACTAAAAATAATCAGCAAGGCGTCCTCTGAAGACATTTTCGCCTAGCAAAGTCCAGACCCTCTCAATTTGGCCCACAGCTCTCGGCCCCTCCGGGCTCTAGCCTTCTCCCCTTTGCTCTGCCCCACCCCCACTGGGCTCTACAGCCAGGACCCCAACTTCATTCAGTCTTCCCACGAGGTGGGAGACGTGTGTCCCAAAGAAAGCTGGGGGCGGGGCAAAAAAACAGGCAGAAAGCTGAATGTCTAAAAGCTGATTTGAAAAAAAATCCCAACTACTGGGGATAAGGGCCCCATCTCTCAAGGACTGGGTTCCCCCATCTTCCCCCAAATCCTAGTTCCCTGGAAAGTTCTCCCCACTTCTCTGCCCTCTCCTAACTCCCTCCCTTCTCTCCAGCCTAACTAGACTTTGGGGGGCTCCCCCACCCTCTGTCTCCTCCCCTCATCCCCTGCCCTGTTCCTGCCCCCTCAGCTCTTCTTTGGAGCCCTCCAATCCGTCAGGGACCGAGGGGGCCAGGCCCCTGCGAGCCAGCGCGGGAGGTGAGCTGAGGGGGCTGAAGAGGGGGCCCTGTCTCGGTGTCGGCGAGGAGACGAGCGTGATTGTTTTTATGGGGCCATAAAAAACTCTCTCCGCCCGTTCTTCTAGGGAAGCCGGTCATAAAGCCAGTTCAGTTTATTTAATTTATATCTCGGAGCTGTAAAACTCACCACTGTGCGAATTCATTCGCTGCATCCAGGGGTAAATCTGGATACTGGCTTTCTGGTCCTGGGGCGCAGTCCTGCCCTGCTCAGAACTAAAATCCTGAGCGATTGAGGTCTGTGTGTTATGAGCTAAGCTGTTTTGTCTGCAGTTTGAGAGCATGTCTTTCTCCTGGTAAAAGGAATTAGATCCATAGTCATACGGCCCCCGGCTGGAACTGAACACGACATTCTCCTGTGGCGAATAAAAGGGAGTCGAGTAGATCCGGTTCTGAGCTACGGCTGCTCCATAGGTCGAGAAATGCCTCACTGGATCATAGGCGGTGGAATTGAGGGCGACGTTGGGGAGGACGTCCTGGCCCCCGGCGAGGTGGCAGGATAAGGAGGGATTAGTGAAGTAGGAATTCATCCCTTTGCCTTTACCTGGTCGGGCTATGATTTCTTTAATATTTATTTCTGTCTCCAGTTTGTACTCGGAACTAGATGGTTATAGGGACGGCTCCAATCCAGGACAGACAAAATGACAAAGTCAGCTGACCCCCTTCCAGCCAATCGCAAGCCAGATGTCAAGAAGGGGGAAAAAAATCGCTTCTGCTTCTGTTGATTCCCTAGTTGAGACTAAGTGTGTGCTTTGAAAGTAAGACTTGGTTTTCTTTTAAGAATATATATGTAAGGGAGCTGCTGGTGAGGGGGGCGTGCAGGTCCACGAGCAGGGCCTTGTACCCTGTGGAAGGAAAGGTCTAGTCCCAGGAAATCTCTCCGCCCCAGCTAACTTTGTTGTGCTGGAGCCAAATGCAGGGCGAGAGAAATCCTTGTGTTTTCAGTCCGATTTCATCTTTTGTATTTGCCCCTTTTCTAAAATTACATCCTGGTTGCTTCATTTGAGGAGATCCTTCCCAGTGGGAGGAAGTTCCCAGAAATTCTACAAGACATTCTGGCTTGACACCCATGAAGTGAGTCTCCATCACTAGACAGCATATTTTTCCAACAATTAAAAAAAAATCAAAAGGAAGGGGAAATTTCCTGAAACATGGTGCACAGAGGAAGGCAGAGCAGCTAAGAGTCTTGGGTTAGAGGATATGTCGATCTAAAGAAGGGTGAGGGTGAGACCACGGGGTACAGTGGAGGTCCTGAGTAAGCATCTGCTCTCCTTTGCCTCCTAGCCTACTGCCCCTCCCCAGGACCTCTCTTTTGGGAAAACTCTTGCAACATTCTTACCTAAAAGAAAGCATGTATAATAATACAGAGAGAGAGAGAGAGAGAGAGAGAGAGAGAGAGAGAGAGAGAGAGAGAGAGAGTCTGAGATTCTTTCTAAAGACATCAACTCCTGTTTATGTTGGTGAGAATTTATGATTTGGAACCAGCTCAGGCCAGTGGGGTAATTCACATAAGAAGAGTCTGAACGACAAAATTGGTGAGACTCCAATGAACAGTTACCTTCCAACAGGCTCAAGCCCCTGCCCAGGTCAGAAGACCCTATCTGCTCTGGATTTACTGCCCTGCCAGGAGTAGTGCCCCTGGACCTGAGCTGTAAGGCTAGAAGACCCTAGGACAGGATTCCTGGGGAGTTCTTGGGCTGTCACCCAGCCAGTCTCCTCTGGATTCTCAGCAGCCCTTACCTCCATTTTCTCCCCCACCTTGAGGCTGGGAAAAGGGAAGATTAGAAAAGACCAGTTTTGTAGGGGCTTCAGAGAGCTGCAGTGAGTGAACCGAAACGGCAGAAGGTGTGCAGCTGGGGTTTCCCTCTGATTAATCCAAACTGAATTTGATATGGACATAGGCTGGAAATACTTGGAGCTGACAAAGAGAGGGTGGCAGGGTACACAGGAAGCAGTGAAAACTCATATTTCCCCCTCACTAATTTTTTTTTGAGACTGACTATAACAAGAACCCGGATGTCGCCGGGTTTTATGATCTTTTCCTTCTGTGTAACAAAGCGGAGTAATCAATGGGTAGCAATAAAGCCATAAACGGGACTACGCTGGGAAAAAAAAACTCGTTTATTCATCTTCTGTAACGTTAAGGTTTCCCTGGAGTGTCACTAGGGCGGGGGGATAAAGTTTAGAACCCAAAAGCAGACAGTGTGTAGGAGCTAGTACAGACAAAATGTTAGTTAATACACGAACCTCTTTAGGGGGTTGAGGAGTCTTCCTGCCAGACAATTTGTGTTGGATTTTAAAGATCCAGCCCCTGCCTTTGAAAAGGAGGGAAACTGGCTGGAATTTAGGAGAGCAGAAGAAAGATCCTGGTAATTATGGAAGTTTCTATCCCTTGGACTACACCATTTTCTTTTCAAGATGAAGAAGGTAGAGGAGGAGGCTTCCGTTAAGAGTGAGATTTTAAAAACCTGTCTCATCTGGGGGTAACATAGCAGTTGCTCCCCCAAACACAGACAATAGTGTGTTGCTTTTTGCTTTCCAATCCATCTGTACTTGAATTCATGGCATGCCTGGGCAGAGGTTTCCAACAGCTGGCCGGGGCTCCAGTCCCCCTGGAGGGCAAGAGGTAGGGGGAGAGCTTACTGAGGGAGGGTAATCCTGGGGCTGAGCTAGGAGACAAGTCAGTGCACCCCTGGACACCAGTAGCCTCTTTCAAAGTTCCCAGCCTCCTGTCTGCCCCGAGGGTAGCAGTGGAACAAGTAGAAGCCACGGCAAGAAAGAGTAAATTCCCCCCATTTCAGAAAGAGATTGCTAGAGGGATAAATCATGTCAGTGGCACTTCCTTCAAGACATTAAATTGTTGCAATGTAAAACAAATTGAATGATGGAAGATAGGATGTCTTAATGAAGCTCTGCTTTCCATGAGTGTGGATTTTTGTGTATTTTAAAATCTTTTTTATGGATGTGTGGGGGAGGGAGGGACCTTAAAAAAAAGAAGAGGCTTTGAGGGAAGCATGTGCTACAGCCCCCTGACAGGAATGCCTGAGTCTCCTAGAGCCCCTCCCTCAATCATATCCAGAGGTGAAAGGAGCCCCCAAAGTTGGGGAGATTCTCTTTTGGGGCCTAAAGGTGGTAGGCTCTGGGGTGGGCGACCTGAGGAGCAGAATGTAAGTCTCAGGCCCGGAAAAGTTAAGTGTTTTATTACGTCCCTAAACAGAGGGCAGAGACTGAAAGGTCTCGCCGATTTATAATGAACAGAAACCAGCTGCTGAGGGTGGGGGGCAGAAATGTTGGAAGGGAGAGACCAGAGGAAGCAGAAACACAAATATCTTCCCACTACCTAAAGACTTTGGGGAAAATTAACTTCTTAAACACTCTCCTGCATCCCTTTCTATTCCTAAAGGAGGAAGATCCCATTTCTTTTAGTTAGACCTTTAATTATGCAGCTGAAATTTACTGGGAGGATTCGCTCCAAGGGGGAGAGCAGGTCAGATGAGTTGGATCTTCCCTTCATTGGATAATATTTTTTTCCCTTTTCCCATCTTGTGCTCTTTTCTCCCTTGGCAAACAACTGGCTGTCTATTGGGGAGGGGCTGGGATAGAATTTTTCTAAATATATTTATATTTTCCTGTTAAATTTGTCTGAAAACAATTATGGAAGCTCATCAGCAGAAGCAAGAACAGATGTTTTATTAAAACTGCAATGCAGCTCTGTAAATATGCACAAGTCTTGGGAAGGAGGGAGGCTCCAGTTCTTTGTTTCCATCAAAACAAGCCTAGAGAAATCAGAGAAGCCCCCCATCAGGCCCGCCCTGGTCTAGGCAGTGCCTTGGGCTTTCAGCCTTCTGAATTAGGCATTGAGAGGAGGCTTGGTGTCAAGAGCAGATTTTTGCTTTGGGAGCTGCAATTACTGGATTCAAAAACAATATAAAAATCTCAGAAAAGGAATAAAGGGGGGGAAGTTGTCACTGGCCACTCCAGCTGCACCCCTGCCTCATCTGAAACACATGCCTTCCAGGAGCACTAATTACAGGAGAGGAATTCACTGCCTGCTTCTTGGGCCTGAGTGGGTGTAGCACTGGCCTGGAGGCTAAGGGCTGCACCGGAGCTTGGGCACTTAGGGGTTTCTCCAGATTTCAGTCTTGCCGAGTTTAAGGCCAGGGGAGGGCTAGGGAGTCCCTATAGCTCTGAACTGGGAGGAAAAAAGGGGAGACTGGACTCCAGCTTCTAGGATGATGTCATGAGCGGGCCTCACCTTGCCTGCCTTTGCTTTCTTCTCTGATCAGGCAAATAAAGTAATTTTGTGCATACAGACATTTGAAATGAGCCTGGTGAGATCTGGAAATTTTATTCCGGGATATTCTTCGGGGAATATCCTCCTTTGTGTTCTGCAGGACTCCTCTCTCTCTAGATCCCCCCACCTCTGCGAAGATGTTTGTGACTGACTCCAGCACTGACTCAAGCTTGTACTCCATTCCTGGCCGCCGAAGCTAACTACAGCTCACTCCAACGCTGGAGCCGGAGCCGTGGGATTCCAAGCTCCCTCGCCTGCCTGCGTTCTTGGAAGCCTAAAAGACACCGCAGCTGCAGGACTCTGCCCCTCCACCACCTCCAGTTCTTGATTTCCAGCGACACAGAACTGTTACCCCGTCGGCCCCTTTTGTGCCACTGGGCGCGAGCTGAAATCCCTCTTGCAGAGAAAGCTGAGTTCAATAATTGTTCAGCTCACCTCACAATTGCACTATTTGGTTAAGGCTTTGCTGTTCTAGAGTTCACCTAGTTCTACCGGCTTATAGCTAAATTTAAAAAAAAATTAAAAAAAAAGCTCTATTCCGAATGTCTGGTGTTTTTGTGAACAAGCCCCTTTGATCTCTATGGATCTCGAAGGAAAAGAACTGCAAAGACAGCGGTTCAGGCCGCCAAAGAACCTGAACTGCAAAGTCTGGTTTGCTTGGGAATGCCACAGCATGGCTCACCCAAGGGGCTCCCAGTTTTTCCTCAACGCGGAAGGAAAAGATTTCCTAACATATACACCTTCCCTCCGTACATACTGTGCATTCCAAAAAAGAATGCTCCTTTCAAAAGTCAAGCTTAGACACACTGGGAGAAAAGTGAAACTTGACATAACCAACTGGAAAATAGATCCAATTTGTGGGTACTTGATATTTGGTGACAAGGCTTAGGCTGACCAGCTGAAGGGAGTTGGGGTGTTGGTAAGGAAGGAGAACAGGACCAGAAGGGTTGATTCAGTTGCTGAGAACTGGCCCAAATAGCTCTCAGGCCTGTGCTGTGATTCCTTCTTTTGAGCTAAGAAGAGGTTCTGAGTCTGCTGGAGCTGATGTGTCTTTACTGCGATTCAGCATTGGAAAAAGGTCTACAGAGCGACTCTGCTGACGGATGGCATGTTTTCTCCCCTTCCTCTGTTTTTGTGAATCTCTGCCTGAGCTCTTCTAACTTACACTTCAGTCACTGCTACCACCATCAACAGACACAAACCTCCACTTTTGCATGTCTGGCTTCTCCAACTTGG